GTAACGCCCTCTTCCGATCGCAAAATGATAAAACTTAAATAATAAAATAATAATAATTTTATTTATATAGCGCTAAAATCCAATAATTGTCCAAAGCGCTACCTAATTACAAAATAAAATATAAAAAATCTAAAATCTAAAATATCTACAATATACAATATAATTCAAATATAGCCTAAGTTATCTACTATATAAATCAAAAACATCTCAAAACAAAAGGAATCTCATAACCTATATGCTAACTTAAATAAAAAAGTTTTAAGGGATTGCTTAAAAGTCGCCACTGAAGCACATTTCCTAATCTCTAGAGGTAAATCGTTCCACAATTTAGGTCCTGCAATAGAGAAAGCTCTGTCTCCATATGTTTTCAATCTGCTTCTTGGAACCACTAAGTATTCTTTACATGAAGAACGCAATGACCTAGAGTATGTTTTAAAATTCAAAAGGTCAGAAATATAAGAAGGTGCAAGGCCATGAAGGGCCTTGTATACCAATAAAAGGACTTTAAAAGTTATTCTAAACTCAACTGGTAACCAATGAAGATTAATTAAAATAGGAGTTATATGAACATGCCTCGGTGTCAATGTGACAACACGAGCTGCAGCATTCTGAACTGCCTGTAGTCTAGCTAACAGATACTTAGGAAGGCCATGTAATAAGGAATTACAGTGATCAAGTTTCGAACTAATAAATGCATGGACTAAGATTTTACATGTATCTTGGCTTAAGTACTTGCGGATTTTAGCAATATTTCTCATATGATAGAATGATGATTTACAAATGTTCTTAATGTGCTCCTCAAAACTAAATATGCTATCAAACTGAACCCCTAAATTACGAACAGAGTCACGAGGTGCAATGCACTCAGAACCAACAGTAATGTGACCGATGTCAGGCATAGGATGGAATCTGGAACTGATGACTACAAGGTCCGTTTTGTCCTGGTTTAGTTTAAGATAGTTTCTTATCATCCATTCATCAATGTCCCTCACACAGCATTCCACTCTCAACTTCACTTGTTGGATGTCATTCAAGCTGGTAGATTTAAAGGTAATATATAATTGGGTGTCGTCAGCATATAGATGGTATGATAGTCCATGATCATTTATTATGTCCGCAATAGGTGATGTGTATAACAAATACAACAAAGGGCCCAGAACTGATCCCTGAGGGACACCACACTTCAATGCACGTTGTGAAGAATGACTATTCCCAAGTTTAACAAACAGCTTACGTGAAGACAGGTATGATTTCAGCCACTTAAGCACAGTTCCTTGAAAACCAAAACAAGTAGACAGCCTTGTCACTAGAAGAGTATGGTCCACCGTATCAAACGCCGCCGACAGATCCAAAAGTACCAGTATGACCGACTCATTACGATCTAAAGCACAAAGAATGTCATTTTGAACCCTCAGTAGAGCCGTTTCAGTGGAGTGAAATGACTTGTATGCGGATTGAAACGTTTCCGAAAGACCATTAGATGTAATATAGTCTGTAAGCTGGACACATACCGCTTTTTCCACAAGCTTGGACACAAACTTCAAATTAGAAATAGGTCGAAAACTTTCATATTTAGTGAAATCAGCATTATGTTTCTTTAAAGTCGGTGTCACAGCTGCAATCTTCAAGACATCAGGCATAACTCCAGTAGATAAAGATGTATTCACTATGTTAGTCAACACAGGAGTTAGTAAATTGAAACATTCCTTCATTACCACTGCAGGCAGAGGATCAAGTACACAGGATTTATTAATAGATCTCAATGCAAGTCCCTTGATGTCTTCATAACTGACATTTGATAACTTGTTTTCGCCACTTCGACATTATCGCTAAAACTCGTCGTAGAATGGCGACGGCTATTACGTTTTCCCGCCAAAATGACGCTGGTTTCACGCGCGTGCAATACTTAGTACTGAGAAAATCTCGCACTCGTAGTCGCACTCGTCTTAAAATCTAAAGCTTTCTACTAAGTAGTAGGTAGGTTAAGTAGCAAATACGTCAAATTCATCACTGTCATAAAACAGCGGCCTCGCACCACTTTAAAACGTCTAATTTCACTGTACCCCTATACGTTACGCCTCTTTTGTTTTGGGGATGGGTTCCATTTTTTACTTTCCTCCTCCATTGTTTACCCAAAATGTACCGATATCAGATGTAGCCCTCGCTAAAACTCTAAGGGACCAAATTAAACCTCTCAAGAAAACAAGCTATTCCATCAGCTCTCACCAGCATTGCTCTACTTTTGACAGGAACAGGGGAGGCAGTAGAAGAAGAAAAATATAAATTTCCCATACCTCTTTAATCTCCGGCATGTACTTCATGTATTCGTACTGATCTTGTGTGTGTACTCTGAGCTTGTACTATGACAAAAAGAACACGGATTGTAAATCTTCCTGAAGAAAGATATTCCCTTTGCATCAGGCCCTTTTCATTTAGTACCTACCGTTGTTCCATAATGCTGGATTTTAAACAGATTCCCTTCCTTCTTTAATGTCTGCAAGAAAAAGAAGATTGCTTGATACTAACTTGTCAAACCATCATGTGTAATATAAGAGGATAAAAAAGACAGTTGCTATCGTTCATAAGGTTTAAGGCTTTACAGCTTGCCATTCAGGCAAGCTGTAGCTAGCATGTGCCACCTCAAAAGTCATTTAAACTGGCCTGAAAAAGTTTTTTTTGAATGAGTAGGATTGATTATGCTGCTAGGATAGAGTTTCTTACAGAACTATTTATCATTCGAGAAGCTATTTCGAACACTCCACTGAGTTTCCCTTCATCGTATGTAATGTAATTTGTAAGTTCAAGAAAAAACTCTGAAGGGCTAGTTTGAAAGTGTTTGTGCGTTCCAGATCGAATCGTCCTTTAAACTGGAAGTGCTGGTTTTTTAGGAGATGGGAGATGAGATGGAAAAAACCTCACGGAACAAGGAATAGAATGCACAACAAACTCAACCTACACATGATGTCAACGCCAGTACTTGGACCCAGGCGACATGGGTAGGAGGCGATCGCACCAATGTACCACACTTACTCAGTCTCCCAAGAACCGATAAGCCTGTGGCCTTCTAAGTGTCCCCAACTAATTGAAGACACCTTTGAGGTCACATTTTACAATAACTGAGTGATTTCTCAAGGGCTGATTGGTCGAAACCTTTGGTCAATGGGAGTACAGACAATGAAAATAACGTGATGGTGGCGCAGTTTGTTTTCTCTTTTTCCACTTCACTTTGCAGCGAAACAACTCGCCTGCGACTCATGGTTCCACTTGAGTTTTGAACATTCTGATGTCATTTCTATGGTTGATAAGAGTACAGTCCACGGAAAATTGTTCCAATTTGATAATTGGAATTTGGAATGTTGGTTTCTGGGGAAAGGAGAAAACCGCAGTTGAAGGAGAAAAACCTCTTGGAACAAGGAAGAGAACCAACAGCAAATTTAACCCTCTCCTGGCTTCAATGCAGTTCCCCCCCTGTCCCAATATGAAAAAACCCTCGAAGTTAGTCTAAAACCACTCGGCAACGCTTTGTTGTTTTAACTCACTCTTTGCTGTTTGGGATACTCGGATGAGACACTGCATGACCAACTGGAAACGTTATCAAACAATATAAAATTTGCCTTTCAGCTCACATTCACATTATAGGAGTGTGTGAGTGTGTGAGTGGCAGTACACAAGGCACCCTGGGAAATATTGCTAATGATGTCATCTTTAAAAGAACATGGCTCTATTCTTACCTGCAATAATGCGGTGTTTCCATTGACTCTTGCTTCAAACACAGGATCAGATAACTTGGAAGTAGTACTGAAATCCACAGAGCGGCCTTCGACAGTAACCTGAAATGACCAAACATTGGATCAGATAGCCTGTAAGTAGTTTTAAAATTCACAGAGCGCTTTTATCAGTGTATTAATGTGGACCTCACTGCACTTCTTTCACAGAGATGAGCAAAGGCAGCAGAAGGGGATCAATGACTTACGTAATGGTGTAGAAAACATGGTTACATGCAATTCAAATTAATGGAGGGTCTACAAAAATGATGCATGTGTAAGCACATGTAAGATGTGCTGATGCATGCTGACCATAAGCTTCTCACATTAGGATGAAGTTACCAATAATAGGCCTTTTTCAAAAATACCATGATACTCTTTGTTGTCCCTCTAAGATTTTGCATAAGCATTGTTTTCAATTTCTCTTGGGAAGATTGTAAGTCCTCCTTGTGCTAAAATTTTGGAGGGACAAAAAAGAATATTATGGAATTTTTGAAAAAGGTCTATTGTCAACAAGTTGCTACGTTTGCCAATTTTGCTTCTGTGTATGCTTGCATTGTAACAAGGCTGACATTGTGTAGAAAAATTAGCTTTGCATGACATCAATGACACAGAAACACACAACAGAGCAGGGCAGCACCATAGGTATAGCCTGTAATAGCTATCCTAAAACCTCTGTTCAAAGTCTTTTGTAGCTTAGACGTCCATCCGCGACACATACCACTGTAACGTTTTGCACAAATGGCATTCAAGGCTTGTAAAGCCATAGCCTGGGAGCAAGCTCTTCTTTTGGGGGAGTCGTGAGAGGTCAAGTGACTGCCGCATATGATAGGAGATGCAAGTGCGAGGGGTCTGTCCACAGCCAACCATAGAAAAACATGAGCAAAATTGTGTACCCAATCTACGAAGGCCAAGGATCCCACCAAAACATGAAAAATAACAATGAAAGAAATAATTATAGTGTACCTTGAAACCTCCATCGGGCTTTGCCTTTACAATGACGGGGTAATCCTCTTTGTTCAAGGTTATCATCAGATCCCAAGACTGTTCCTTCTTAATCACCGCATTTTGTCTAAAATAGAAGCCAAATGTTTACCGTATTAATTGGAGTAAGTTCCTTCACGTGCTTACTTTAAGGTTCCAGCTCTTTGTTGTGGGGCTTACTTGTCAACAGGGACATTTGTATAGGTAATCACACGGCCTTTCTCTTTCACCTACTTGAGCTCAACTTACTTTTCCTGGTTTTTAAATGTTTTAGCCCTCAACGATCTTTGTACAAAGAAATATGCAGTAGTAGCCAATAATTCATCTCTCTCGTGTTCAGTCAACTGATGTCCTGCAACAAATGCAAAAATGGAAAATAAATCAAGACTCGCAACACTGACAGTGACAACACAGGTAACCCAGCTTACAACCGTACAGTTTCAAAAGTAAAGCAGGGGTTGTAACACTGACAGTATCAACACAGGCAACCCAGCTTACCACAGTACGGTTCCCAAAGTAAATCAGGAATTAACACTGACATTGTCAACACAGGCAGCCCAGCTTACTAGCATACAGTTTCGACCCACGTGACCGAGAACAGCAGCCATAGGTGTTGTTATTTTCGAGTGGTCAATACTCTCAGGTGTCAAAAAATGTCAACTTTTTAGGCAACTTCAAAATAACTGTATCAGTCAGAACACTTGTTTAAAGGGCAAAATCTGCAGGGCTTAATACTTTAGAACACAAGAGGGACCCCCTCTCTAATAAAGTTCTCCATTTTCAGAGGAAGAAAGTTATTAAGCACCCCCTTCCCCACATCTCCTGTCACCTTATTCTTCACAACCAAATTAATAATTAATAGAGTGTGTTAATTAATCATGACTGTAACACTTCATGTTCAATCATGTGGACTGATCCAGTATGGTTATTCACGTGCTGGGAGTTCGGATTAGTTTTTGATTTTCAGCTGCATGACCTCCAACTTCATGTGCTTAAGCATTTCCACTTTGTGTTCTAGTTTTCATGGAGAATTGATACCATTTTCAGGTTGTTTGAAAAAGCAGTGTGGCGCCCAGTTTCGCTAAATTAAATAATGCTCTCGGTGCCTAAAACGTGCTTGAAATAAATAAGCCCCCCCTTGCTGGGCTTCATAGAGGATTTACAGTAATTATGAAATGTTGACTACTTTCACACCCTTACCTTTAAACCCACTTGGGTACTCCTGTGGCAGAAACTTAGTGGTTATGTCACCAAGACGGAATTTAGGGTGATTCAGGACATCACGGAGCAGTGAAACATTGTATGTCACTCCTGAAATATCAAATTAACATTATTTAAACACCCCTTAAATGTACAGCTATTTCGAGAACGTGCACGCGACAATCCCGAAAGGTATTGTGGGTGGTTTTGAGTTCACTGTTGTTCAAAGAAATTTGAAAGAATGGCATGAGAGGCATGAGAGGCTATGCTTGAGAGACCAACAAAAGTAGGTTCGACAGCTACAGTGTCAGGAACAGTGTATTGAGCATATCCCATATTATCTTTCGGGATTATCGAGTGCACATATTTTCCGACAACCTTTCCTGAAATAGCTGTATAAATAGACATGAATAATTGTGCCCAACAACCCCCACCCACACCCCTGCTCCTCGCTTACAAACTCCACCATAGAGATCACTGAAACCTGCCGCGGAGGGGGAATTAAGCGGGATGTGGGTGGGGTGAGGGTAGAAGTGACGCAGATAAAACAAGAAAATGTTACTTGCAGAGGGATTAATAATTTCTCAAATAGGACAACCATTATCAATCTGGAAATAATAATTAATTTTTACCGAAAAGTCCGAAAATGGTGGGGTTGCCCTGAGTATCAGGCCTTCCATAGGGGTTAGGGGAGAGTATATCGTCGAGCGGTCTCCCCTTGTCTCTCTCTCTCTTCTCCTATCCCCCCTCCCTCTGCCCCAGAAATGATAAGGTGGGGTAGGGTTTGAGGGAATATTATTAGGGAGCTTTAGCATTGACGATGGTGATGGCAGCAGAAACGTCACTTTTAAAATAAATTCGCCTTTTTTAAAACTTTGTCGCATTTATTCCAATTCACTGAACACGTCAAATGTGGGCGAATTTCTCTAGAATTAACTTGGGGACCACATTCAAGGGAAGGAAAAATCTATAAAACTTAAAATTAGGCATTTTCAAGTTGCAGTCGTGTAGCATAACAAGGAAATGTACAAAGTAAGTGTGATGCACATGCAGAGTTGTTGCTTTGCCCAACATATCTACTACTTTTTTGACGTCCTCGTTTCTGTCACTGATATTGTTGCTTAAGCTCCCTATTGTCTTATTACATGCATAATGCCGTGCGTAGTGAGCAGCAAATCCGCAAGGGAAAATCCTCAAAATTAAGAGATTCACACAGTCCCCACTCGTCCCCAGTCTTGCTGAGGCATAAGAGCCTAAACTAAAACAACAGAGAGCACCTGTAAAATGAATTTATTGTGTGTGATAAATCCCGCCATCTACGCAAGACAACAAATATGACAGAGCTAATACCTCTGATAACATAGGAGTCCAATGCTTTGTTCATCGTATCAAGGGCCTCATTTCTTGTGGCTCCATGAGTTGCAAGCTTTCAAAAAGAAACAGACTTTGGCAAATTAATTTAAAAAAAAAAAGGTACACTGTTCACAGTCCTCTATTTTTTTTCGTAAGCTTGTAAGGATCGAGAGCTTACTGGTATGGGCGACCATATTGGTTTCATAAGTACCGAGCGGGTGGGTATCCAGAGTTCACACTCATCCAAGATGGCCAACCGTAACGCGAAGACTTCAATCTCAACGATCTTACGGAAAAATAGGGGACTGAGAATGGGCAATAACTTCATGAAACTACTCAAATCACTGGTTATTAAGCTTTACAGGGGATGTATCAAGAGGATATCGCTGTTTCAGGCCAATTCTGTGTCAAAGTTATAGACCATTTTACAGTCATGAGTTTAGCTCCCTAGCCTCTGTGTGAGGCTGAGGTTGGCCTTGTTTTGATACAAACTTCTCTCCTTTTCTTATGAAAATCACGCTAAAAAATACGAGCTAGTTAGCATAAGAGCAACATGGGGAAGGGTTGTATCAAAACAAGGTCAACTCCAGCCTTGTTTGCACCTGTAACTGTAAAATGGACTACTACTTTATGCCATTACCCAAATGCAAAGTTTTCCTGTAGCATGACAAAGAGAAGAAAAGGAAGTACCAACAAAGAGTTATTGACGTGGAAATGAGATAGTTCACCCCCCTGGTTTCTGACATGAACGGGGGAATGGGGAAAGAGTGCAAACTCTTCCTGAGCAACCTTACGGACAAACTTTCCCGGAAGAATGGCGAATATTATGCCAGTGCCATATCTTGGCTTAGAACACGAATATCTTTTGAAATTCTATGATCAGTCCACACATGTAATCGAGGGTTTAGAAACTTTTTTTACAAGAATGCTGACTTTTTAGATGATTTTAGTGTTAATTAATACAAGGAATGTGGACATTTTAAATAAGTTTTAGTGTGATTTTTAGACTAGTTTTCTAGACAGTATTTTTATTAGTAGGTTATAGTTATGATGAAGACAACAAACAACTTCCTCGGGGAGAACTAACCATGATTTTTTTTAAATTGGTGACTTCTTCAGGCATAGCATTTAAACTATAGTAACTACGTTTAAACTTGAAAAAGCTGGCCAAACTTTTTACGTTTCAATGCATGTTCACCCTTGCCATCTGTTGCACCAAATGCAAGGAAACAGTTTTAAATAAATGCCTGAAAATAGTCTTACAAAAAAAATTGGACCGTTGTTTTTGGAAGTCAATTATTGATGCAAAAATAGCTTTAGCCTTTCAAAAAAAATAGCAAAGAGTGATATAATCCATTTCATCAGTGATTAAAAGTTCTTCTGTGGAAAGAAAATGGAAGCTGCATGCATTTTGCGGTGGAAAGCAGTGCACAAAAAATCAATACCTTTGATATCATGGAATCATAATAAATGCTAATTTCACTTCCTTCAATAATGCCACTGTCACAACGAACCTAGAAAAAAAATTAAGAAACAAAAAAATACAAGCTACAATAAATAGGAAAAAGTTATAACTTGAAAAAGATCTATTAATTACATCAGATGAGTGGGACCCTGTTCCCCTTTAGGGATTATCCATCCTTTTATAATCCCTCCCCACCCCCTCTCACAGCATTACTGTGTCAAACTCAGAAAACCATTTAAATATTTGAAAATTTTTAGGGATGTTGATTGTGTAGTGACCAATCACAATAAAGTTCAGGACATGAGAGCAAACCTCAAAAACACAAACTAATTACTGTTGCTGTTTTTGGTTTAGCTTTCTCATGCCTTGTTGGCTTTTTTCTCGCAACACAATAACATTCCACAAATATTTCTGGTGTTCACGGTTTTGTGAGTTTCTCAGAAAGATGAAATAAAACAAATGAGTGTCTATATGTTTGTGGAAGCAAGAGCCTGAGAATCAAAATCAATACTCATCCAAGGCAGGTTATTCCAATAAAATAGTAAAACTTACCTATAGCCTGTAAGAGGTGGAAGAAAACACAACAGACTTAAAAAAATACTTACGTTTGGAATATGAGTTGGCTCAATGTACTTGTACAGTCTTCCAATTGATGGCAAACCAAAGTTCTTATATGGATCCTACGAAAAAATATTTCATTGGTCTTTAACCTTTTCCTGTTAATGGACAAAATACACTATAGACTGTAGGAACAAACTTTTTGGATGCAAGATCACCAATTAGCCTGCGAAAACATCCGTTTCTCCTCGCTCTTCGCCGCTGGGGACGTTTCACGAGGAGGAACGTCTGCGACTCAGCGACAGAAATTTCATACTGATGACGTAAAATCTGTCCGGAATCTGGTCAGAAGCGCTGATTGGTCGACGAAGTAGTTACATCGTTTTAGCTATTGTTTACGAATGACAGACAAAAGACAAAAGGCCACAAAGGTCAAATGTAAACGCGAAGAATCTCGAACAAAACAGTCAATGTTTGTGGAAATATAGTCTTCTCTAGAAGAAGCACGTGAGTTTTGCTGGAGCTCGTTGGCAGATGAACACAACAATTTACCAAAATCGACCAGAAGACACGTAAAATTGGACAAATTTGCATTTGAAACCCCATAGACTACTGGATTTATTATGTAAACATTGGATTGCGTCATCAGTATGGAATTTCTGTCGCTGAGTCGCAGACGTTCCTCCTTGCGAAACGTCCCCAGCAGCGAAGAGCGAGGAGAAACGGATGTTTTTGCAGGCTAGATCACCAATAAGAAAAAAGAATCTTACACATTGAAGACATTTTTTCTTTTTTGCAGTCTAGTACAAGCCCCAACCCTAAGAACTGGGAGATTAATTCACAATTAAAGTAAAATCTTTCAAATAAAGTAAGTCAGACCTCAGCATACACTCTGCATTCCACTGCCCAGCCGTTGATTGGAATATCCGCCTGTGTGATGCTCAAGGGATGACCTAAAAAGACAAGAGGCTAAATAAGAAAATTAATGGCATTTAATTTGGTTATATGTTATTTAACTAACTAGCCACCACCAGCTTAGCTTCAAGCAGTCCATGAGCTTAGAGGTCAAGCGGTCCACCAGCTTAGTGGTCAACTGGTCCACAAGCTTAGCGGTCAAGCAGTCCACAAGCTTAGCAGTCAAGCGGTCCACAAGCTTAACGGTCAAGCGATCTACGAGCTTAGCGGTCAGAGGGTCCACGAGCTTAGCGGTCAAGCGGTCTACGAGCTTAGGGGGCATACAGCGGTCAATCCCATAAGAGCAGGCTCACATGGTGCATTGTTGCTTTGTACACTGCTAGGATCTTTGAGTTCTTTGTTAAGCATTTAAGCAGCGGTCTGTGGAGCGGTTGCTTCAGCACCTCATTGTAAGGATTTCAGGGGATGATTAGACTGAATCGTGCCCACTCTGGTATGGTTTGAAATATCTTTTCACCCGGCACAAGTTAGATGACAATGTCCCTGGCTGTTAAAACTGATGACGTTACAGGCAGGAGAGAGGACATGGATCTGCACAAGTGGTTATGGGTGGTTCAGGGGTGAATGAGTGAAAGGGTCAATGAAGGGTTCATTGAGGCATGCTTCAAAAGGCTTGTTTTACTGAAAAAAGGAGAAACAAAAGTTGGTAATAAATTGCTGATTACTAAGGTGCATAACATTGTCTACTGGATGAATCACTATCAAATGGAAAGTGCAATTGCTTTCTCTAAAGTTTATCTGCTAGATAGCCATTTATTCAGTGGATATCACTATTTAGTAAAATCCAACTAGTGGTCTATCAATGCTGCGTTCTGATTGGTTGAGCTACTACTAAGCTATATACTAGCCCACTAGTAGCGAAAAGCGCCCTCTTTGAAAACCAAAACAATGGCGTCCGAATCACGTTTTGCTACCTAAAGCTGTTTTGTCTTGACATTTTCGGCCAACTAGTTGGATTTGATAATATTCCACTCACCCTCATGGCCTCTGAGTCAATAGCCCATTCGGCCTTCGGCCTCATGGGCTATTGACTCAGAGCCCATTTGTTAATTAAGACTTGCACAACCAGGTCCTGAAGTATTGTCCAATTCAATTTACTCGTATGGATAACATGGACACCAAGTGGAATGTATGGTCAAAAGGAAAAGCATTTCAGTACCTGCTGCCACTCTGATCATGTGTTCCACAAGATCAACTCCAGCTACCATCTCAGTGATGGGATGTTCTACTTGCAAGCGAGTGTTCATTTCCAGGAAGTAGAAATTCTTCTGTGAGTCAACCAAGCACTCGACAGTGCCAGCCGAGTCATATCCGACTTCCTTAGCAAGAGCTACAGCCTGCTGACCCATGGCTTTTCTCATGTCTGGGTCCACAAATGGACTGCAAGAAAACAAATGCTAGTTTTTAGTCAAACAATTCATTTACATGACTGCTTAGGTCTTAGAACTAACATAGTCACATTATAGAATAGCAAAATATATTCACACCTAAACTGCCTGAAAGCCAACAACAGAAAATTCCAAAGGAAATTTTGTTCCACTGTGATCTGTATTTCCTTCAAAATGATATTTCAGGATCCTTAGTGTGTTTGGAAAAACTTTTTCCACCATAAAAAAGCCAAGTAAAATTTACTTGTTCAGAAAAATAGGAAGAAGTGAGGTGAAGAGAAAGTTGACAGCCAGTGGGGGAATTGTCTTGTTTTTGTCCAAATAGTATCTAGAAATCTCCCCTTCTGCACTTGGCCAAACTCCAAACACTGTCATTTATTGCCTGCAGGAATAAATGTTAGCAAAGATCTCAACTTTGTGCAGTTTTGCTTCTCACCAGCAAGATGGTGACCAGAAAACAGCTCAACTAGTTTAAGAGCATTTTTGGGCAAAACTTCTGGTGGCATATTGACTAAAGAAACACACTTGCTGAGCAATAAACCCATCTTTGTTGAAATTCAAAGGACTAGCTATATGACTAATTTCTTTTCTTCAGCATGTACTAATTCTAGGTACTGAAGTGAAGTATCGCGTAATCAAGAAGGGAGGATAAATCATGCTTATAGCTCTTATATTTTTACCTGGGGGACTCTTCAATGACCTTCTGGTTTCGCCTTTGGATGGAACACTCTCTTTCATTGACATAAACCTATTTTAAAACAAAAAAATGTCTGTCATCCAAACTGGCAACAAAGAATGGTAAGGATTGAATCTGGGTGCCTGTTTTACAGAGGAGTCTGTTACAGAGACAAAAATGTTCACCGTTTCAGATAGATAAGACAATAATTATATAAACTGGAACTTACAGCATTTCCATATTTGTCTCCAACAACCTTTTAAGCAAAAAAGAACAAAAGTGCTCAATACTCAGTATAAAAAAGATATTGCAACACATATACATGTATAGCAATCTGAGTATGTTCACATATTGTACTGAAGCCCTATCTCACTCAAACAATCCTTTAATTGAAATCACTCTTCGACCCACTAAGTGCCTTCTTCACAATAGAGAGACAACCCTTGGATGTGGCAAACAGACTCACAGTGCAAAGGATGGGATGGGGAGGGGGTTGAGGGAGCTGGATCTGTGTTGCATCAACCTTCCCTTACAGTTTTCTGTGTTTGGCAATATTTAAAGGATATTACATTTTTGGATGAGACCATGCTAGGGTAAATTCAACTTAGTAGTCTTTGGCATTTATTTTGTCCAGACATATTGTTCATTTACAATGTTATGTGAGAGACAGCTCCCCTCACAAAAATTATGGTCAAAATTAGGCCAAGAAACACGCTTATCACTACTAAAAAGGCTACTATGGCAGAGAGCCAAACTGAAATTGTGCATTAATTTAATATGCTCTACAAGTTTATACAACTATAATACAAATTATGAATACATGAAAATCACATTATGTGAACTGCGGAGTGAAGAATTGTATGAATGAAGATCATCACAGTTATATATGCAACCTTTACAAGTGATAGAATTGTCGCTGAACTCCTGCTAATAATTGTGACCCAGAGCATGTGTTCTTAAATCATATTTCTGGTACGGGTCAATATTCACCTGAATCTCAATATGCCTTGGATTGTCAATAAACTTCTCAACCAACAATCTGTCATCTCCAAAACTTGAACTGGCCTCTTGAGAAGAGAGACGGAACCCTTCCCTGATTAAAAAAAATAATAACAAGAACTCACTATAAATTTTATTTGCCTCTAGGGGAGTCTGTGCAACCAATACAAACTTAAGGTCTCGGTAAAGGAAAACGAGGTGTCCACAGAAAAAAATTCTAGTTGCGCGAGTATTTTCGCTACAAAGGGAAGTTATATATCAAATTAAAGCTAAAAGACTAAATTACCTTATAAAAGATTTTATTTCATCGAATTTCAAAAGGCGCTTAAGTTTTTTGCTCTCGAACTCAGAGGTATCAAGTTTACTGTTGAAGCTCCAGCCCTTTTCGAGTTGTTAAATATTCACTTCCTTTTTATAGCATCTGATTGACAGATAAAAGACCTAAAAAAGGGTGTGAGGAAATTTGCATATGTTTCGTATTAGCGGAATTATTGCATCTCAAACTAAAAAGTCGAATCTCGAGCGCGATTTACGCAAAGAAACTGACATAAAATGAGTTACAAAGGGAAATCGGAAAATTCCTCACAGCCTTTTTGACTCTATATCATTATCCATCATATCTGAAAGTTTCAAAGCGATAGCTTAAAACCTGTCCCGATTGGAGGTCGGAGAATTTTGATTTTTGCGCCTAAAATAGAGTGAGAGAAAATCAGCTCTAAAGATTTAGCGCGAGGTCCACGCTTGGCTGGTTAGCTCAGAAAAGGCTCATTTTAGAAGGGTTAAAAAGCACTTTCTGGTTTTCTTTTTCTACCAAAATAAAATTTAGGACCCACTCATGCCAAAAATAATAAAAAAAAAAAATCGAGCAATGTACTAAAATTTTCATTTACCGAGACCTTAACTGCAGCATGGTGATCAAGAATTAAAGTAATGTGTGGTAATTGACTTCCAATATAGGAGATTTATATTAAGAAGAGTTCAGAGATCCACTTTCTGCTTTCCATTCATTTTCTTCAGTCTCTCTCCACCTGAGTAGGATAATTTTATTCAAAATAATAATTATTTTACTTCGACAAAAAAGGAGATGTTTAAAAAGGATGCAAAAAGGGAAAAGAAGAACTTAACATCCCCTGAGGCTTTACTGGTAGTTCCTATAATTATCATTAATAATAATTATTACTAAATGATAGTATACTCAAGGCTGTGCTCAACGGAAAAATAATTATTGTAGGGAGCCCAATGCTCTGAGCCATTGAAATCTAGGGTGCCAAGTTTATGATATGTGGCAAAAACTGAGATTTTAGAACTAGTCGCCCAGGAGCAAAACTAAGGAGCCAGGGGCCACCTGGTGCTGCCAAAGAACAGCCCTGATAGTAATTGGTTTCTTCACAATTTATTCCAAACATGGGCTAACAAAATTTCTACAAAAAAACTATCATGGCTTATACTTCTAATATAATTATATTAACCTTACTGCAAACTAAGGTAAAGTTTACAAATGTGACATACCAGCAGACATATTATTATATAACGGAAGATCCATAGGTGAAAACAAATGAGACCAATTTTTTATTCCTATTTAGCAATACATGTGATAATACCAAAAAAGAGTTGCATGTAATTGAAAATAGACAAGATATCTCACTTAGTTTCATCATCATTCCAAGCAATTCTCATTCCTTTGCCGCCACCACCAGCAGAAGCCTTGATCATGACAGGGTAACCAATTTCATTAGCTATCCTAACTGCATCCTCATCATCCTACAAAAACATTATAATTTAAAATACCAATAAGTCACCTTAAACTGTATTGCAATCATAAAGACTGCAGAGCTGTTATTTACATGTAGGGCCATAACCCATAAAACCTGTTGTGGTTGAGCTCACTTGATATTATGGGTGATCAAAGTGGAAAGCTAAAGACGACACAGATACTGTATATTGGGTTGTTCCAGAAAAAATCCACACCCCCCCGACGGATGGGATTCTGGAAATTCTCGCGGGAGGGGGGGTCGAAGACTCCGGAAATCCAGGCGGGAGGGGGGGTCTTCCACCTTGGAAATCCAGTTGGGAGGGGGGGTCTTGTGCTTCAGGAAATCCAGGTGAGAGGGGGTTAAAAAGGACCCCATCCGTCGGGGGGGTGTGGATTTTTTCTGGAATAACCCATTTTTTGTGAGATGTTACTGGTAAACTTCCATTTGCTATGGTTGCTTCAAAACATAGTGACAGCCCTGCACTGTACATAAACATATACCTGCCAACTTTTTCTGAGTCAAATACGTGAGATTTTTGTCTTGTCATGACCCGGACTTCTGAAACGTCACAGCAAACATTACTAAAAATATCTGAAGATACACATATACACATCTTCCGCCGTAGGCCGAAGCCATGAGCGGCGAAGCCGCGAGAAAAACCTCTGGCACAGAGCGGAACTTTTTACCGTCCCCGTTGACCTTTGAGCTTTTTTATCAGATTACATTTACGCCAAACAGATTGAAAGTCTCCAACTGTGATCATGTGGGCTGGCACATGAAGAAATGTCCAAAGACCCACATTATGTTTAGCAAAACAAGTTCGAGTTTAAAATTCATTGCTTAATTAAGAGCAATCATGACTGGGTCACATCGCAGTTCTCCATAGTTGATGTAGCTTCAGTTTAAGCTGCAATCCATTCTTCGAGATTTGGATCTGAAAATCACTATCTGTGAGAATTGAACATCCTGCTAAAAACGAGCTGGGTCCAGCATAACAAAACATTGCAGGAAACCGTCACTTTCACGGACAAAAAGAAAATCGCTTATAATTATTCAGATCCAGGAGGCACTTTGGAGAAATTAAACAACCTAAAACCCTTATTTAGCCGCATTGAAGAGCTTAACATTTCAAAAGAGGTCAAAGAAAATGCTCTTGCATCAGAGGGCAAATCATATGCTGACCAGACACAATAACCGCAGAAAATCAATATGCGTGTCACGACCTCTCAGTATGAAATAATCGGCACAAATCAAATTTGCTCAGTCAAAACGTTTTTCTCCAGAGCATAATCTACCCATCACGGAAAAAAATTCATTGGAACAAGCAGCATTTTGGTATGAGGTAAAAGTTGTGTGTTGCCTTCTGACCCCCCTTTTATACTAAAAATACATGTTTTGTTTTTATATTCCTAAATTATCCATCAATACAAACTATTTCAATACATGTTGTAATCGTTTGAAATAGGAAATTAGTAAAGCTTAAACCGTACTGCTACAAAAGATGAATTGGTGATAAAAGGTTAATTGCGTTGAATAAAATTAAATACTCCACTTGTTTGCTCACAGCTTTTAACTTGTCCTTCTAGTACATTGCTTATCATTCTCTTTCAAAGCTTTCCAAAGCTGCCATCACAACACTTCAGTCATGTCAACAGCAAAGTTGGAAATATTCTTTCACGTGCTGGTCTATTCTTGTCAACCAATTGTAGCGTCTGTTAGATTCTAAGTCCCTCAGGCGGTAGTTAGGAGCCAATCAGCTGTTGTGGCCAAAATCTGGACCAATAACTGATTTAACCGTTCTAACGATTGGATCGTGCGCCATCAAAGCACTAGTGCTCTGCTCCAGAGGCTTTTCGCGCGGGTCACTATAAAGACTTGACAGAAACTGGAAACCGCGCTAGAAAAGTCTCTGGCACCCAGGGTATGACAACCACTAAGCACATCCGAAACTATTCAGAAGATGACAGTTTTAGCATGTTTAGTTTTCAAGGAACACAAAGTCATTATTCAGTGCCTATTAATTTAGAATATTTTTGGGAAATTGAATTTTCCTTATTAATCATGTGTTAAGGAACATTTCATCTAGATTTGTGAGTCAGGTGTGAGAAATTGTACTTGATGCGTGATATTGATGTCTTTAGTCTGCAGGCGTGAGACTAACATATATGTAATGTGTGAGAGTTGTTAGGTGTATAAACATGACTTATCCTTTGTGAAAACTATGCAATCCATTCATGGCTTGGTAACACTTGTCTTCACCCTTACCCAGGAATAATGTTGAAATAAGTGGGCTGCTGGTTTAGTTCACCAGCTGAAAAAGACCTAATTACAGCTTAAAATTGCTTGGAAAGCAAAGACGTGTGGTAATTTTGAAGATGCAGTTGAGTTAAGAAGCCAGCTTTCACGACCCCACAAGCAAAGCGTCGCTTTAAATACTTATCGTGTATAAATAAAGATTAATGACTGAGCTTGACTTGTAACAAAAGCCGTAGTTTTCCTTACCTAAAACTACGCTTATCCTCCAGTAGCACCATCAAAAGAGGAGCATTCCTTTTTTTAAATTTATAAATGAAAAGATAGTTGATTTTTAACAATACTGGTTTGTTCACTCACTGGCTGTTCTAGCATTGGCTTTGTTAACAGTTATGTTATATGTGACCTCTCATGCGAAAATCTTCGTTATTTTATTTTTTTAATTCCTTATTGTTCATTATAATTAAATTTTATGATAAACAAAAACTTGGATTTATAGCTTAAAGTGCATGATTAATTAAATAAAATGTCTTGCAGCCCACTTGCCTTAACAACTCCTTCAAATCCAGGGATGATGCTGACACCAGCCTTCTTGCCAATCAGTTTGCTTTGAATTTTATCTCCCATTGCTTGCATTGCAGCAGCATTGGGACCAATGAATTTCACACCAGCCTTTTCCTGTTGTTAAAAATAAACAGAAGAGTATGCTCAGTGTGCAAAGAAAATGGTGTCCAATTGCCTGGGCCTGCCGGGCTAGTGATTTCTATTCTTAACTTGCCCGATGGGCAAACGAAGTTTTTTGGGGGAATTCAAATTACAGAAGAACTGTAACCAGTGTTCATCAAAATTTTTTTTCGGGCTACTTGAAATGACTTTTGGGCAAGTAAAATCTAGCTACAGCTTGCCCGACTGACAATCTGTAAAACTGACTTTCTATGCACCCTGATGCTTTTGTGTAACCAAATGTTATGAAGAGTTAGAAACTTACATGGAGAAAAAGAAGATTTCTGGACTTAGACAGTTAACCATTTTAGTGTCAGCAGTGACTATCATATTTTCTCTTAACAACAACAACACATAATCAAGAGAAAAAGATATGAGAATTAATAAATTGATCCCCAGAGGAAAAATGCTTTGACCTCATATTAAAATATCTCAATTTATTCTTTTAGAAAATGCATGGGGATTAGTGATTCATATTTCATGTGACCAGTGTGTAACTAGACCCCCTCCCCCAGTTATTCAGTGAGACAGTCAGGCAGTCAGTCATTCAGTCAGTCAGTCAGTCTGTCAATCAGCCAGTCAAACAGTCAGTCAGCCAGTCAATCAGTCAGTTTGTCAGTCAGTCAGTCATTCATTCAGTCAGTAAGTCATTCAGTCAGTTAATCAATTAGCCAGTAAGTCAGCTAGTCAGTCAGTCAGTCAGTCATTAGCCAGTCGGGCAGTCAGTCATTCAGCCAGTCTGTCAATCAGTTAGTCAGTCAGTCAGTCAGTCAGAACTGTTTAAAGTATCATTTCGTTTTTAACCACTTTTTAAACTGGTTCTACATCATGTGAAAGATACACTAAAGGAAAAAGATACACTATATGACAGAAAAAAAATTATTCACCAATCTAGCCACAAACTTGCTGTTTTCTGATAGAAAGCCATATCCTGGATGGACCTGAAAAAAAATGCATCACTTTAAGAAGTCTGTCTGATCCTTTAGTGTCAAAACTTCATTGTAAACGTAAATGATCTAATAGACAACTGGAGCGTTATATTTAATTTTAAGGGCCCAGGAAGGAGTGTTTAAAAGATAGGAGGAGTTGAAAGAGAGAGGCATTTTTTTTGGGCATAACTGTAACAAGCTCAACAAAATACATGTAATGTAAAATGCTCTTAGAATAGCAGAATATCCAGTGCATCCAGGTGGTGAAGGCATCAAGTACATCAATAACTCAACAGATTTAATAACCCAAACAACAACTCTGTTCAAGTACCACACTTTTTTGGCACATCTCTTTGCCTTCAGTGAAAGCCCATGATGTGAAAATGCCTAATTTTTTGTGTTATGGAGGACGCAATCAGTTAACAATGAAATTTTCTTTTTCTTTTTTAACTTGAACATTCAAGGTTCTTAAGATTCAACCCCAGAACAGTTCATCTACATATAAAGAAGGTTGGAAAAAACATGATGAAGAGTTGCCTGAATAAAATTGAGGAAAAAAAAACAAAATAAATGCCGGAATAGGTAGTCATAAATACTCACTGCTTGTGCCCCAGTTATGTTGATTGCTTCCATAATGGCATCCATGTTCAGGTAGCTTTGATTTGTTGGTGGTGGACCAACACAAAATGACTCGTCAGCCATTTTTACGTGAAGCTGGAAAATAAGTTACATGCAAAGTTAATGCTGGTGCTTAGAATACGACAGGTGAAAGAGAAAGGCTTGGCAGGTAAGTCTGCTTTATATCTTACAATCTGTGTTCAACTAAATTGGGACATACTTAACTTAGCAAATCTCATGAACAATTTTAATGCCAAAATTTTAAGAGCCGTTTTACAATAATAATAATAAAAACATTTACATTTGTAGATCTCATCAAGACATTGAAGAGAAGTTAACTGCTTGACTTTTATGGAGATGTGGGTGGGCCGATTACCTGGAAAAACCCAGGCCAGTGCAAATGATGGTAACGTCTGGGACACTTTCCAAAGCCTGCGCTTGTTCGTAAGAACTTAAGAGCACTAACTGCACTTCTGTACTACTTTTTCCTTGTTGATAATATGAGCAGTAAGGTGCTGCCTGCATGTTCTAATGCAGATTTTATAAGACAAGAATAGACTGAACATTTATTTAACATTTTGACAAGCACAGTGTGAATAACTCCAGCAACTTAATATTCTCAAAAACTTATCAAAACATACCGCACTGGCATCAGCTTCACTGTATATTGCTACAGTTTTGATTCCAAGACGCTTGCATGTTTTCATCACCTGAAAACGATAAAAAAATGATATACAGTGAATTGATCTTCACAGTCATATTTATTAATATACTGTCGATAGTACAAATTATCTTACCCTGCATGCTATCTCTCCTCTGTTAGCTATCAAAACTTTATCGAACAGCTGAAAAACAAAATCAGAGACAATAAAGGGGTAGCTGGTACCTTGAATAAGCATGTAAGCAGGTTCAAGTTATGAGGGTTTTTACTCTACCATTCATTTATCAATATTTTGTTTTAACTTTTGTAATGATAAAAATGGCACCATGAGAAAAATTTTGACATTAACATAATTTTTCAGAGTGACATGTAATCCAAGGTAAAAAGGTATAGGCGCACATGAGCCAAAGGCTCAAACGGCCCATGCTTATCCCAGTTTCGTTAGGCCATCCCCTTTTTTGTTTGTTTAGCGTTGAATGCGTTTTCTGCTATTGGGTCGGTCGGTCGGATTGAAAAAAAAAATCTAAAAAAAAAAAACACAAGAAGTCTCGGAATAGGAGGCCCTGGGACCCCAGGATGACATTAAAAGTTAACATTCATATATATCTGGATTAACAAAACGAACAATATACTGTAAAAAAAATGTTCCTGTCTTTGTTCCTGTTTTTCTCTATGCTGTTACTACGCTCATTTTCAGATTAAAAGAATTATTTCAAGTGATAAATGGTTTAACTACGTAGTAAATTTTTTTTCTTTTTTGAAAAATGCCAAAAATTTGGGTCAGTCAGGCGACGCTAAACGGAGGAAAAAAAGAGGATGGCTCTAGCATGAAGCACCTACAAGTAATGCTACTCCCCCCGGATGAGATGCTAGTCCATTGCAGGGTTACCCCCCAGCAGTATGTCGCTGATACCCATTTATACACCTGCGTGAAGAGAGGCAAAACGGAGTAGAGTTCTGTGCCTAAGGAAACAATGTGATGGGCGAGGATTGAACCCCGGACCTCGAGATGCGGAGTTCAAGGTGTTAACCACTCGGCCACAGATGCCGCCACATGTAATCTAAGACTACAAACCAATCAGAATAAAGGCTCTTATAAAACATTTTTTTGTGACTTTGAAGTGTTTACGTACAGTGTAGTTATCACAGAAAATGGAAATTCAATAAACTGCACACCTTTTCTCTGCTAATACTTGAGGTCTGCAAACCTCTAAAGCATGCCTGCTGATATCCATTGAAAAGATATGTTCTTTGCTGTGGAAAAAATCACATCAACAGTATACAATAAAGACTAAGAATGTTATCAATCTGTCGTTAACCTTCTACACCCTTCTATTAGCACGTGGATTATGCATTATTCTCCAAACAGTCTTCTATACTGTATGCAGTTAGTATGGTATAGATATAGACAATTTGCTTAGCAGTCAGTAATTGTTGTTGTTATGTTTACTTAGATGCTGATCATCGTAAAGAATTAATTGTGGGTCAGGAACCTACTGTTGACCAGTGTGGAGATATTTAACCATTTCACTCTTACTGTTCAGTTATAGAAAGAAGTTACGTAGTTCTACCACTGATGTTGGGAAATCCTATGACCTTGTGTTTACTCACAGTGGCAGATATAGGGACGTAGCTGAGGAAAAGCCAAGTCAATTCAGTTAATTTGTTTACTGAACTGCACCGTAAAATTAACACAAGGCTTTGTTTTCCAGAGAAATTTGAGCTGAAGATATGGTCTTTTTCATATAATGGAATAAGCTGGTAGCCAGCTTCACACTTTTTCTTCTTTTTTTTTTCATGTCCTTTGCAAACAAGCCAATCTGCTTGTCTTTTCCTGTAAATTTCTTAACTTTTTCTATGTTTGGATTTTGATTCAGAAACCAAACGTGTAAGAAAAGCTTGGGGGTGGCCCCGATACCCAGGTCACAGAAAATAGACCTATTAGGCTAACTCAATGTTGTATCCAATTCAAACCCTTTGGGAATAAAAGGTTTTGTTTCAGGAATTTCCATATCATTTAAATGTGAATGCCACATTATAATGCAAATACAAGACACAAAGAATCTTATCCCCGGGAGATTTGAATTGGGTACAACACTGAGTTAGCCGAATAGGTCTATTTGCTAATGCCCCATCCCAGGACTAAAAAGGCTGCTATGCAAATGCCCAACATTTAATAAGCTGGGGGAAGGGGATGGGCGAAGCTGGAATTGACTGATGCATAACTTTTTTGCTGGCAATACACTACTAAGTTGCTGAGACTAAAATGTGATTCTTGTGAGATGCAGCGTTTTTGCTTATCTACGTGACAAGCTATATTGCATTCAAGATCAATAATTTGTCCATAAGAAATAGCAGTTATCAAGGGAATAAAAAGACAAAATACAGCGTGAGCCTGAACAAGGACTTCCAGTTACGCAATCTGATTTGGCTGAAATCGATTAGACAAAATAGGCATTCCCATCTGGCTGAATAGCAAAAGGTAACGCAATGAACCGAAAGTGCCCGGCTGAGAGCAAATTAAAGAATTATTGTTATTATTTATTTATTTTAATTAGAACTCTGGGTGTCCCTTTAAAGATTCAGCTTTCGAGTAACCAAAACAAAACCAGTAATTATTAGGCGACTTGCTCAGAAACTTCTCAGATTTCTGGAGATTGGTTTTAAAAATAGTTGAGCTTAAATAAGCTTATAGCCAAGTTCATTTGTATGCATGAGCAACGTGCAGTCTCACACGACAGAGTAGAAAATGCCACTAACTAACAAAATAAAGGCTCCCTCTGCAAAAATAACAGATAAACATTCTAAACCATAAAATTAGAAGCTAACCTTGCAAGTTCTACAAGCTCCTTGAACGAAAGACGAAAGACCGAAGCTCATACCTCTGGAAGCCATCGCCATGTTCAACTCTTGACCTGGGAGCCTGTCATGCTTGATTTCAGCGGATACAGATTGTACCGCAAGAGACTGGAAACAAGCGCCTTGTAAGATAAGCGGAACGGTCAGCAGAACGAACGCAGAAGGACGTCGATGACTTTTGTCCTGCTTTTGGTAGTCGATTGCTCGTCGTAAAAGGTAAATAACATTCTTACTTTAATGAATTATTATATTTAAGTGTTAAGCTACGTCCTGATAAGCTTCAATCTTTCATTTGGTGGGTTTTCTACGCAATTCTCTCGCGATCGTCTAATCGTTCTCTCTCGCATGTTTTACAGAAACGTGCAAAGTTTTTGTTTTCTTTAAATCTTAACTCTTCTGTGTCTGTTGTTTAGATCATGATCATTCCAATTCGCTGCTTCACTTGCGGAAAAGTTATTGGAAACAAGTGGGAAGCTTACCTGGGATTACTTCAAGCAGAATACACAGAAGGGTGAGCAAAATAGAGTTGGGTATCCAATGTCAGACAATTCGCCCCCCAGACAATTAGCCCCCGACAACTAGCCCCCACATTATTAGATTCGAATTGCGAACTGGGCTGGCTGTTGGGGACGAATCTTCTGGGGGGCGAATTGTCTGACGTTCTAAAGTTGCCTGGCTTTGTGCTTTATTGAGAGAAATATAGAAGATATCTTAGGAGCTGGCTGCATGGTATGGTGGAGATGTGATTTACCAGTGACACCTACCCTTCGAAGCCAAAGATTGATTGTGGTGTTTGATGAAGCAGGGTTTAAAGAGAAACTCCAGACCTAAGGAATTGCAATTATTTGATAAATATGTTTAAAATTACTTTTTCATCAGCACTTGTTAATTGGATACAGAAAAGAGCTTTCCAAAATTTGTTCATGCAACTTTTCCATCACTCATCCAAAGTAATCCAACTAGCAAGAAAGTAATAAAAGGAAAATTTGAATTTGCGTCATTTTGCAAGCTCAGTAAAATGATTTTATTTGCACTACTGTAGATTTCCAACTTGCACAGCGCGTTTGGAACGTCCGTGAAAAAATAACTGAACAGGACATCCCTTAGTGACAGAAAATATAGATAAAGAAAGTAAAAGAAAAAGAAGAAAAAACGCTTACAGTCAAAAAAAAGTTTGTCATGCATTGAACGATCGAAATGGAAAACGTTATGCCAGAGGCAGCATACTTTGTATTTAGCCGACTGTGTCACTGATTCAGGACGTACGAGATTTACAGTAGCTTGCTTGTGACTTGCCCTGGTAGATATCTTTATAGATCTGGGGTAAATTTAATAAAGCTTTTACAAGTGTAATTTACAAGTGTAGCTATTATTTTCAGACTCTAAAACAATGGCTACACTTGTAAGTTGCCGATGTAAAAGTTTTATTAAATTGACCCCTGGTCCCAGCTGTTTAAAAGGTGGATAGCACTATCCACTGGATAAAAGTCTATCCACTGGATAGCGCAATTGGTTTCCCTAATACTTATCCACTGAATAGTGATTTATCTGGTGGTTAGCACTATCCAGCTCAAATCCTTGTACTCAGGCGAGGGCCAGAACAAGGATTTTGGCCGTGTTTCACAGACAGACTAAATCAGAGTTTAGTTTCATCTGTGGTGAAGGCTAGCCCAGTGACTATTGTAAGCTGAACTTGGTAATCTTTATCTGAAGAACTTTGTATTTTTTGCAGAGATGCTTTGGATGCACTTGGACTAAAGAGATACTGTTGCAGAAGAATGCTTCTTTCACATGTGGACTTGATTGAAAAACTGTTGAACTATGCACCGCTTGAGAAATAGACTAAGGATCTTAAGAGCAGTTGTCTGTAAGATTCGAGCTATATTAAAAAGGCGCTGCCACACTATCTCACCGAATTGGCTAAAAATTGGCATGTAGACTTGATTTGAGGTCTTTAATAAGGAATAGGTAACTTTAGGTTCTAATTCCTCCTACTTCGGAAATTATCGACATGGCCGGTTTTTGGGTGCCTCGGACCGGCGCCATATTGGTTAATAGAAGCTGCTTTTGAGCCTTCGACTACAACCCTGTCTTCAAAGCTAATCTTCCTTTGCCAATACAGATTGAAAGAACAATCCCTCTTTATTGTATTTTTAGAAACTACTTCGAAATTGATAACGTTTTCGCAACGATCGATTAAACTTTTGGTGGGTATACTTTTTGAATTTTTTACACCCGCAAAATTAACAGAATTTTAAAGGCGTATATCTCTTTTGCCACATCGCATTGAAGCTTGCCAATCTGCCTGAATACTCACTGTTTGTAGTTAAATCGAGTTCATTAATAAAAAAATTGGGCAAATTTAACGGAGCAGAAACAAAAGTAATGAATGGAAGACTGTTCTAGCGACTTTGTCAATAATCTGTACACCGAATACTCGCCAGGTGTTGCCAAAATTACAATCGATAATAGAGTTTCTGTCATTAAATCTGAGTGATCTGTGTAATAAAATTAGCCTCTGTAATATAATCGATAACTCTGCCGCGAAAAACAGTATAAAAAAAGGCAGATTGTAGGAGGAAAAGGAAAATGAATTTGTTATGTTTATGCTATGACGCGTAAACAAAATCCAACCATCACAGTCGAACAGGAATTTTCCTGATTTTCCTCCAGTTCCTTTACCGAAACCAGAGCTTTTAAAATTAACCATAGTAATGAAAATTGAGATGTATTACCTTACTCGACGACAAAGTTGCCAGTTTCCACCTTGATCGAAAAAAAGTAATATTTTCCCACGCATATCGCGGGTCGTCACGTTCCTTGCCTGGCGTTACAACTCACGTGAAGCCGCCTGGTTTCAAACAACTGAACTGAAGAATCCGTGAAAATCTTAGCCAGGCAATAAATAATGGAAGTTGATAAAAGTTATCATTATTAGTGAGCGAGGATCGATGCGATGATAGTTCCAGCTATATGTATTTACAGCGTTTGAAGATTCACTCAAAACCCATGAGACATGAGCCTTGAAATAAACATCATTACTTCCGGTTTTAAAAATTGGGCGTTGGCAAAGTAATGAATAGACTCATTCTACCTTGTACACCGTCAACAACGGTTCCATGTACAATTTTCAGGTGTTTTGTCTCAATCACGAAGCCCGTTTTGAGGAGATTCTTGATAAACAGAAAAATTGGTTTGGAAGGGGTTAAGAAGAATGAGGGATGAGCCCGGGACAACAAAAACCACAGTCACCCCACCGAAGGGCTTTAAAACTGTGCGCAAATGCCTCACCCTAGGGACAATTCCAGATTTTTGTTTCCTTGAAAAAGCTTAAAATCGCTAGACAATGCATGGACAACTCAAGACAGTCCTAATTCAAAATAAAGTAAACAGCAAAGAAAATTCAGTTAGAGACCAGAGTGTTTATCCGATATCGCGAACAATAAGGAGTGATTGAAGATGTGTCTGCAGTTTAAGGTAAAATCATTTACCATGCTCACGGACCTTTCGACAACATAAGTGTACCGTACCGATTGACGTAATATCAGTGGTAAAAAACGAACGCTTTTTACTGTAGGACGATGACGTCATCATACAAAAGGCGTCTTCACTCTGGCATCCAGAATTTCAAACAGTCAAAACCTAATTTCTCTGCTCGTCAACTGAAAAACGCCTCTGAGGGCAAGTAGTGGTAATGTGCTTGTTAGTAAGACGTCCAACATAAGGAGACATTCATAATCAACTCGGTTAAGGCATTGATAAAGGGAAACTTTCTCCTTTACCCTTAGGGACAGAGTTCAAAGGCGCAAAAGATTTTTAGTTCAGCTCTAGCATGTGTTGTCTAGCGATTTGCTTTGAGCTTCTCTAAATTTTCCCGATCAAACAAGCTGTGCCCATCGTACATAATCTTGTCTGGGCTCCCTTGAAAAATTGCACTTCATCAGATGCCTTCAAGTTCATCCTCCGCCGCGACAACTTCGTGATCTATTTTAATGGGTGGTTTTCTGGAACTATCCTATGGCTTGTCCTTTCTGGTCGTCACTATATTAGCGAACATGTTTCAAATTCTCCCCAGCAAAAGTCTCTATCAGGAGCGTAGCCAGGACTTTCCAGGTGTGCGGAAAATTTCCAAAACTTACCCTAACATCTTACTCAGTTCTCTCGCAACGTTTCCCCACTACATTTGCTAATTCTGTTAACTAGGTGAGGTTATGCGTGGATGAAATGGCACTTACAATCGGTGAGAAAATTAGGTTAGACACTTTACCCTCAAGGACGACTCTCACGTTTTGCTGACACTTTCTACCTTAGAAGAGATAAGTGAAGCTTTGCCTCCCCCACTCCGTGTAAAAAAATGTCGTTCGGCTGTTCAAACTACTTTTAGAAAACAACAAACTTCCCAACTTTAATTTTTAATAAAGGTATAAGGGTAGGAATCCAAATTGTTTTGGAGTATTTCACTGATTTTAACACGATGATTGTAAAGTAGTGTCTAGTGAGTACGGGGGCTAATGCCCCAGCGTAAAAATCTGAAATTGAAAACAAAAATCTTGTAGAACCGAGTAGTACACAATTTTAGTTATTTTATTGAGTTGTGAAAAATCACCAATTTGTTTCTTCTTGAATGTGTTATACTCTCATCCATTCAGTCTTTCCGATATGCCCGTCGGATAGCGGAAGTTAACGTAAATGATCCATTACCTGAAAAGAAGCTACCATCCTAATTTTCCACGTTCGGGTCTTTTCCCTAGCCATAATTTTTTTCCCTCAAGGAATTTTTCTCTGTTTTACATAATAATTGGTCTTGCATTCAGCTTATCGATTTTGAGAGCCTAGTCCTATGCCGTATTCTGATGCGATCTACTTTATGTAGCTTTCCCCCCATCTAACAGCTCCTTACGGAACAAAAACGGCTTTAATTGAGTCTATTCAAAGAACTAGCCAATATTTTTCCAGCGGTAAGCACAATGTTCCTAATTCCCCCTAGTCCCCGTCTTAGACGCTTTCATGTGCATCAGGTGTTAAATTTTCTTTTCATAGGCTACAATGCTCATAATCGCGCATTCTGATGTCATTTATGCTTAAAAAATTAAAAATTAGTTTATCGAAGAAAGAGTGAATTAAAGGTGTCATGAGGCGTTTGTGATTTCATGAACTATTTGACGCGGTCCTTTTCTTACGGCTTATGTCCGTTGGTGAAATCGCTACTTGGGTTTTCTTGGATTGAAAAGGGCGGGCTCTTTCTAAACGTGGCGTTGTTTATGCGACCTTAGTATTCAGAACAGAATCAGTCGATGGCAAACAACGAAAAGGCTTTTATGTGGTAAGTTACAGTGATGAACCTTGCCTCGAGATGGTCATATTTTTGTAAATACCTTCATGCAATTCAGTGTTGGTCTGAAAATTTTTTGTTATGGATGGGGAAGGGTGGGGGAGAGATCAGAACATGTACCTCGTGTTGTTTACGAGACATTTAAAGTAATGAAAACTGTTAAACAGTCTTCTACAAATCAAAATAGTTGCAAATGCTTACGGGAGGCCCTAACTATATGATGATTAGAAGGGCTATATTTGGAAAGGTGCATGGTCGTGGAGTTAAGGAGATTTGACTAATCAACCAATTTCCCGCTTAACATAAGGGCGTGACCAGTGGCCCCAAAATTGTGTTCGCTCGCCCCGGGCTGGCTCGACTTTTGGGATACGGTTATGGGGTTATAAACAATGAGTTCATCATCTGTATAGCCTACTCGCCCCAAAGTGACTGCATTTCGCTTTTCAGAGACCCATCAGTTACTGTATGACCCTCTCCGATCAGATTTTATGTCCGTGGTACTGGTGGTGAGGTCAGTCTACAAGCAGAGTCGTGAAAAACACCGCCACTTGAGCCTTTACGTTCAAAACATTCCTGGCTATCGGGAAAAAAAGAAGGAGCTTTTAAAAATACTAAATAAAATGTCATTTCAAATTTCACTTTGTCACCGTTCGAAAATTATTGTGAATCAGACCGAATGAAAGTTCACTCAAAGAGGGGGAGGGGGGAGGGGGGTTGGTAGTTCTTAACAGTTCCAGTTAGCTAGAAAATTAAAAGTTACGAAAAAATAGTGGGCGAACTGCAGAATACATGCAAGAATGAGAAAGAAAATTAGAAAGCAACTTCCTGTTCAAATTCGGGTGAAACGTTTAATAGCGTCAAGAAGACTGAACTTGATTGAGGTTGTTCATTTCAGTTCCGTTCCAGCGTGCAGTTCCCTGTCCTCCTAAAAATAGCTTCGTCTCCCACCGATCATTCCATGTCATATTTTGCGGACTTATTATTCAGTAATGACGGTACGATCAGGTAATTTGACTTGATGAGTTCTTTAATTTCATTTCATGTACTAGTTTTATATCTTACGCTGGAAAGATCTGCCAAACAGTGTACATTAGCAAAGGTAGGTTCCTGTTTACGCGTGTAATTATCGAATACCATACAATTTGCATAAAGCTACAGTGCACGGTTGGTTTTTCTCATTTCTAGCCTTTTGATTAAAACTGACAACGTTTGCGTTATCTTTGCCTAAGAAAATATGTAATTTGTAGCTGTATACAGCGAAATACTACAGAGAAAATTGTAACTGTGCAGTACATGAGCGGCTCCCGATTGGTCTGGGAAATCGAAGAGCGAACTTGAGCTAGTACCGTGTGTAACAAAATTTATAATTTTCATTTTAGCGCATATTTCAAGCTCTTCGCAAGATCAGAATCAAAAGATCATCTGTTTACATTACTAGGGAGGGTTTTTTAAGCGATAGATAGGGTTTAAGAGGCACGATAAATTTTTAAAGAATTTTCTTTTCAAATA